GGTACACTATTTGTCCATTTCATATGAAATTTATCTTTTAAGAAAGAGGCACACAGATTTTTGTGTAACTTACTTATATTCTCATTTTGTGGATTTTATATTTTTCCCAGGACAGAGATAAAAAAAACTATTAACTAACCTTCAGCCTTAACTAGGAAATGGGCACTCAATCAAATACTTTTTTTGAAACATTTCCTCATAGTAGGTACCCATTACATATATGTAGAATAGATATGTTCCTCGCTAAATAAGACCGAAGTGGAAGACCTAATACTGTTTTTATTCAGAAATATCGGCATTATTTCTATTACTGGGTGGAAACACATGGTTGTTAGCAACTTGAGTTTGCATACCAGAACCGCTATTTAGTAGGTGGTAGGCCTCTGTCAAGTAGGTCACTGGACTGCAGAGCCTCAGTTTTTCTCACCTATAAAATGGGAATTAAAATACCTATTTTGCAGAGTAGTGAGATGATTAAGTCAATAATGTATGTAAATGACTGTCATGAGTGCCTGCCATAGTGTGAGTGTGACTGTTAGTTTTAGGTGTCAACTTGACAGGATTAAGGAATACCTAGAGAACCAGTGAAGGATTACTTCTGGGACGGTCCATGAGAATGCTTTCAGAGGTGACTGGTTTGTGTGTTTGTGGACTGAGTGGGGGATATTTGCCCTCAATGTGGTTGGGCACCATCCTATTGGCTGGGGACTTGATACAACAAAAAAGGCAGGGAAAAGGTAATTTTTCTTCTCTCTTTCCTGTAATTGGGCGACTCTTCTTCTCCTGACCTTGGACATCAAAACTCCAGCCTTTCTTGCTTTTAAACTCCAGAGCTTACACCAGAGGCCCCCACCTCTGGGTCTCAGGCCCTCAACCTTGGACTGAGAATTATACCATCAGCTTTCTTAGTTCTGTAAAAGCTTTCAGAATTGGTCTGAGCCATGTTACCAGCATCCGAGGGTCTCCAGCTTACAGACATCATGTCATGAGACTTCTCAGCCTCTATAATCATATAAGCCAATTCTAATAAATCCCCTCTTGTGTCTGTCTATCTGTCTATCTATCTATCTATCTATCTATCTATCTATCTATCTATCTATCTATCTCTCTGTCTGTCTGTCTGTCTGTCTATCTATCTGTCTATCTATCTATCTATCTATCTATCTATCTATCTATCTATCTATCTGTCTATCTCTTATTGGTTCTGTCTCTCTGGAGAATGCTACTATAATGGACGTTCAAGAAATTGTATTATTGTTCAATTCACTGTATAATTGCTTGCCTGTAATTTTCAATTGCCTTATATGTTACTGTCTATCCTTTCTTTTATAATTTTCTTGTTATCATTTAATACATATGATTGTGCTTTGGGTGACAGAAGACAGCTACCCAGACCTTTTTTTTTTTTTTTTTTTCAACTTTAGTATGCCTTTCAGCCAAAGATCGGCAGGAACACATCTGTTGATTTTATTACTATTGCAGGGAAGGAAATCACACACCATGGGGAACCCTCTTAGTAAGAGGGAGTTAGAAAGGACTTACAGGATTTAGGCTTGCATTAGGTGACTTAGGGAGCAGTAAAAGAAATTTTGTATGGGTTGGGTGATCTCAGGAAGAAGGGGTAATTCTATGATTGGGTATCTTAATAAATCTTCTGTAAAAAGAGGGAGACTAAGATTATAATTGGTAAAGAAGCAGCAGTCACTCAGAGTAGCAAGAACAGGGGGATGATTGGTCCTTGTTGTGGTTTGGGCAATGTTCATATTTTTGTCTGTGTTCAGACATGATACACAGTGGTCTTGTTTATGTCTTGATCCATCATGGTCAACAGAGAGACCTTGAAGATGCTGATGTTCTGAGAAATTGTTTTTATTCAACAGAAGAACACTATGACCCATCTCTAAGTGCCAGGCTAGTTCCTAACAACAACAAGACCTAGGTTTAAGTGTCAGGCCAGTTTCCTTAGGTCAGGCTGCTTTTCTCATTCTTATGTATTAGCATGCTCTGTAATAGAATTTAGGTGCAGACAACAGATACCACTCTAGCTATCTCAAGAGAGCATGACTTAATATAGGGAATTAGGTGCTTACAAAATTGTTGGAAGGACTGGAATAACAGCTCTGGCTTGGAATCTGGGAACAACTCCAAGAACTACTCCATCGAGCTAGTCCTCTATGGAAGCTGCCAGGTATTCCTTCTCCACCTTTGTGATTGTGGTGACCACCACTGAAGTTCTTGGCTCCAGAACACATTAGCTAATCTGCTCTTCAGGGATCAGGAAACTGCTGTTGCAACTATTACTTTTATTTATTTATTAATTATTATTATTATTTTTAGATGGAGTCTTTCTCTGTTGCCCAAGGTGGAGTGCAATGGAGCGATCTCAGCTCACTGCAACAACCTCTGCCTCCTGGGTTCAAGTGACTCTCCTGCCTCAGCCTCCTGAGTAGCTGGAATTACAGGCATGCATCACCATGCCTGGCTAATTTTTGTATTTTTAGTAGGGACGGGGTTTCACCATTTTGGCCAGACTGGTCTCGAACTCCTGACCTTGTGATTCACCCACCTCGGCCTCCCAAAGTGCTGGGATTACAGGCAAGAGCCACTGCACCCGGTCTACTTTTTTTTTTTTAATGTTTTATTTATTATATTTGTATGTGTTATTTTATTTAGAGATGGCGTCTTTCTCTGTCACCAAGGCTGGTGTGCAGTGATGAAATCACACCTCACTGCAACCTCAAACTACTGGGCTCAAGAGATTCTCCCACCTCAGCCTCCCAAGTAGCTAGCTAGGACTGTAGGCTAATTTTAACGATTACCTTTAAAGCCATACAACACCTGCTATGTCCATAGCAACTCCTCTGAGTCCTGCCTCTTGGCTGTCACCAGTAGTGACCAAAGCAGCACAACCTCTGCTACCTCTGCCACAATATAACCCAACATTGCAATGACCACCTTTGCCAGCAGCAGCGGCACAAGTTCCAGTAGCCTATTTGCTATATCACTTCCAGTTTCCAGCTCTCACTTCTACAGTCTGATTGCCTTAACCCAAATCATATCCAAAACCCTAGCTGCAAGGGAGTTTGGGAAACATATGGTTTTAGGTTCTCCAGTCGCTGCAGTAGGAAGGCATACTATAAGGAGAGTGGAATGGATGTTAATTTTCAAGCCAGCCTATTCACCACCGGCCCTAACCAGAGAAGTAAAGACACCTGGATCTAAGCCTGATCCAGTCACTAATTTGCTATACAAAGTTAAAAAAATTCTCACCTTTCAGAGACTTAGCCTCCATGACCAAGTTACACTGGTTGATAACCAAGTTTCTTTCTGATTCTAGAATTCTATGGCTCTATTACGAATTTTGTTGAAATTTTCTTAGGTGTGTTCATTTTGAAAAGCATTTTCCATACTTTTTAACATAATAATGTTTTTCTCATTGATACCCAGAGTAAGAATAGGAAACTTCCAAGATACCCCCAATGAGTTTTACCTCCCAGTATTGTCACCTTCTCATGTTGAATATGGCTGACCTGTGTAACCAATAGGATATCGTGTAAATGACAGTATGTGGCACCCAAGGCTAGGTAATTTAAAAATTGCAGCTTCTATCTTTGCTCTCTCTTGGATCACTTACTCTGGGTGAATCCAGCTGTCATATCATGAGGACACTCAAGAAGCACAATGAAGAGGTCCACATGGTGGGATCTGAGGCCTCTTGCCAACAGCCAGCATCGACTTGCCAGTCATATGAATGAGTAAGCAAGCCGCCTTGGAAGTGAAGGGCTCAGCCCATGTCAATCCTTCTGGAGACTCCACCCCTGGCTGATATCTTGACTGCAGCCTCACGTGAAGCTTTGAGCCATAACTACCCATCTGAATCACTCTTGAATTCCTGTCCCACAGAAACCATATGAGATCATAAATATTGAATGCTGCTTTAAGACATTAAGTTCTGGGGTAAACTGTAATTATGCAGCAACAGAAAATTAATGCATTCCCTGATTAGTATACAAAATAGCACGAGAATTACTGAATTTTGTTTCCTAGTCTCCAGCATCAAATTTTATTTGCTTGTCCTTTTCTGACATGAAGCTGGTAGCCTTTGAGATTGCATCTCTAGACATATCAGAAGCCATGAAGAAGTGTGTAAATCTGAATTAAGATTAAGTACTTCATTTCTGAGATTTTTAAAAAAATGTGGTAATGGGCAGACAGAAAAATTCCTTATTGTTAACATTCTAAATATAATCTATTTTCTCAGGAAAAATGCCAGGCATTTGAAACTTATCATAGGACTAATATGTCCTTTAATAATAAAGCTAGCTGGAAATGGTGGATCACACCTGTAATCCCAGCATTTGGTAGGCCAAGTCAGGAGGATTGCTTGAGGCCAGGACTTCGAGATCACTCTGGTCAATACAGTATGACTCCATCTCTCGTAATAATTAATAATAAAATAAATAAATAATGAAAATAAAAGCAACGAAAACATAATCATTGAAATGATTCCTTCACAGATATCCCAATCAACTCTGCAAAATGACTCTTTATCTTAATGAAGGAACTACGCTGTATTTAGAGGTTAAAAAGAGTCCCATCTGTTAAGGAAAATCAAAGTTGCTTGCTAATGAATTATTTTGGGTTCTAATTTAAAAGGTAAAGAAATCAATCTAATTTCTTGTATTTTATGATGGTTTAAAGTTTTTAAGAAAGAAAGTTCAACAAGTTATTATATATTTCTTGACTTTTATTTTTATTTATTTATTTTTTAAATTGAGACGGAGTCTCTCTCTGCCACCCAGGCTGCAGTGCAGTGGTGCAATCTCAACTCACTGCAGCCTCTGCCTCCTAGGTTCAAGCTATTCTCGTGCCTCAGCCTCCTAGAGTAGCTGGGATTACAGGCACCCGCCACAACCTCTGGCTAATTTTTTTGTATTTTTAGTAGAAACCGAGTTTTACCATGTTGACTAGGCTGGTCTTGAACTCCTGACCTCAAGTGATCTGCCCACCTCAGCCTCCCAAAGTACTGGGATTACAGGCGTGAGCCATTGCCTCTGGCCATATTTCTTGACTAACATTAATTTTTATTAATGCTCTTTTCTGGATCCTGCACCCATGTCTGGTAAGGATACAGTTAGAGCAGCAAACTTCCACTTATTATGAAAAATGAGACTGAGTGAGTTTTGGAGATGTTAAATAGAAGTCTGAGTTGTAAGTACCACAGACTGTTTATTAATTGGCTTGAGAGGAAAAAAAAAAAAAAGAATTTACTGGACAGCCACTTTAGTGTCCCGGAATTCAAGTCACAGCCAAGTTAGGATAGAGCTGAGATCTCGGGCACCAATGGAGTTAGAGCGGGAAACCCTCAGCTCTCTCCCCTTGCCTCACCTCTGCTGCTCTGGATTCCAGCTTTGTCTTCTGCAGACTGGCTTTCTTTTTGTTGTAGAAAACATGGTTGTTGGCAGTTCCTGAGTTTCATATTTTTCAGCTTTAGTCACTGAAGACTTGTTCTCTGGTTTCAAATGCCAATTTTCAATGAACTCTACCGGGGCAGGAGGCCATGTTGATCAACATGGCTGCTCCTGCAGTAACTGGGGAGGGAGAGAGATTTCCCAGAAAAATAAGTGGGTTGGGAAGACAAAACCATATGTACCATATTTTAGGTTTCTAGGGCTGCTGTAACAAACTACCGTAAACTGGCTGGCTTAGACATCAGACATTTATTATTTCACAGTTCTGGGGGCTAGAAGTCCAAGATCATGGTGTTGGCAGGGTTGGTTCCTACTGAGGACTCAGAGAGAATCTGTTTCAGGTCTCTCTCCTAGTTTTTGGTGGTTTGTTGGCAATCTCTGGCTTTCCATAAGCATCAGCCTGATCTCTGCCTTCATCTTCACACAGCATCTGTTGCCCAGCCTGGAGTGCAGTGGCACGATCTTGGCTTACTGCAGCCTCGACCTGCTGGGCTCAAGTCATCTTCCCACCTTAGCCTCCCAACTAGCTGCAAGTTTCCCTCTTTTATACAAAGCATCAGTCATATTAGATTAGGGCCCACCATACGCCAATATGTCCTCATCTTAACTGAGCTAATTATATCTTCAATGACACTGTTCCCAAGTAAGGTCTCATTCTGAGGTCCTGGGGGTTAGGATTTCAACATATAATCAAGTTTATCTAACACAAGACCCGCTGCAAGCCGCATGTGACCCAGGACAGTTTTGAATGCAGCCCAACACAAATTAGTAAACTTTCTTTAAAAAGTATGAGATTTTTTGTGTGATTTATTTTTTAACTCATTAGCTATCGTGTTAGTGTATTTTTTTTTTTTTTCCTGAGTTAGAGTCTTGCTGTGTCACCAGGCTGGAGTGCAGTGGCGTGATCTTGGCTCACTGCAACCTCTGCCTCCTAGGTTCAGGCGATTCTCCTGCCTCAGCCTCCCGAGTAGCTGGGACTATAGGTGCACACCACCACGCCCAGCTAATTTTTGTATTTTTAGTAGAGACGGGGTTTCACCATGTTGGCCAGGATGCTCTCGATCTCTTGACTTTGTGGTCTACCCGCCCCAGCCTCCCAAAGTGCTAGGATTACCGGCATGAGCCACTGCGCCCGGCTAGTGTTAGTGTATTTTATGTATGGCCCACTACAATTCTTCTTCTTCCAATGTGGCCCAGGGAACCCAAAAGATTGGACACCCCTGAAAGGGTCTATCCAACCCATAAGATTTCATATAAGACAGTACCTCATACACAGGGTATCAAAGATCAAAGAATGGAGGCAAGAGGTGAGGGCAAAGAATCATAAACTAGAATTATGAATTCCTTCAGATTTCATCTTCCAGGAGAGAAAAATAAGTAATAATACCTGCATCCAGAGAAAGAAATGCAGAATTTTTTTTTGTGATAGTAGAAGTAAGATAACCATCAAACATTTAGAATATAAACTAATGTGAAATACCACTGTGGCTGTAGTGGCAAATCAGACACATCAACCTGCTGGGCCTGCTCCATTTTTCTTCCTCATGCTCACCTCCATTTAGTGGCCTCTATTTGCCAGGGGTGAGGGTGGGGTGGGTAGGGGGTGTTAATGGAAATCAGCAGAACAAAAAACGCAGCTTCTTGTGCTCCCCAGCAAACCTGAACAAGAGAGGGGAGCAGAGAGACTTTGGAGAGAGGAGGAAGTCAGGTGCGATGGTGAAAAGCCCTGCTTCCACTCGTACCTCCAAGTGCTGAAGGAAGCTTGTAGTTTGGCGTTCAAGAGTCCCAGCACTTTGGGAGGCCAAGGTGGGTGGATCACGAGGTCAGGAGATCGAGACCATCCTGGCTAACATGGTGAAACCCCATCTTTACTAAAAATACAAAAAATTAGCCGGGCGTGGTGGCAGGTGCCTGTAGTCCCCGCTACTCGGGAGGCTGAGGCAGGAGAATAGCTTGAACCTGGGGGGCAGAGGTTGCAGTGAGCCGAGATTGCGCCACTGCACTCCAGCCTGGGCAACAGAGAGAGACTCTGTCTCAAAAAAATAAATAAATAAAGTGATGGTGGGCCTCTACCTCCTTTCTCATTTTCTGCTGGGGCCCCTTGAGAGACAAAGCCTTGTAGATGTCCCCTGTTGCCATGAGTATTTGGAGGGCATCAAGACGGCAACAAGTAGCTCCTGGGGCCCAAGATGACAGAGGAAACAAGCAAGATCCCTGGAACCTTCATCTCCTCGCACTGCCCATCCCAAGAGACCAGATGGAAGTCTCCACTGCAGCAGCACCAGCGGACAGATGCAAACCAGCCACACTGCCATAGCGGCTGCCTGTGAACCCAGGTCCATCCCAAGGCAGTGGAGGGGCAGAATCTATCGTTGAGTGAGTGTTTAATCAGTAGAGACTGATAAAGTACTCAATTAAGCTAGATTTGGTACCTGAAATTAACATAAATTAACAGAATTAAGGTTTTCACTGTAGAAGTGGAAAATCAGAATCAGAGATCTGATTGCTTATAAAGTTCAATGACCAAGTTGAGTGTGTAAAAGATGAAAAACTATTCTTTCTGTTATGCTTTCATTTATTTAGCCATGGGATAGACTGAACACAAGCATCTCATTTGCACAGCAAATCAGAGGGTTGTACTATTTTTATTACCATTTTACAGATAAGAAGACTGAAGCCTAGGGAAGCTGAAAAACTTGGACTCCAAACCAAGTTTGAGTGAATTGTACGGCATGTGAATTTTATCTCAAAAATGCGGCTACAAAACAAAACAAAATGAAGCAGGTCTGTTTGGTCGTAAAACCCATATACCATACACCACAGAATATATCTGGTTTAAGTTGGGCTATTGCTGATAGGAAGAAATAGGTTACTTCAGGTCGTATTTTTCCTTTTTAAGAGAGTGTGATATATCCCGAAGCAGAGATTTATTAATTTTCTATTAAAAACAGTTCAAAGGCCAGGGCCTGACAAAACAAACTGATAAAAGTTCTGCGTTTGGGAAAAAAAACAACAAAAACGAAAAAAACAAAAACATTTTGCGCTTGTGCATTCACTGGGATGAGACTTCCATAAAGAGTTACATTGTCTCCTCAAAGCACTAAGGCCATACTGAAGTCCGCTTTGCTTAAGAAAGGGGAAAATTTACTTAGTTTTATTCAATGTGGCTTTAGTGCTTTGGACATTAACTTAGATTCATCACTATCCTTTCCTTTTTTCTTTTTTCTTTTTTTTTTTTCTTGAGACAGAGTCTTTATCTGCCACCCAGGCTGGAGTGCAATGGCGCGATCTTGGCTCACTGCAAGCTCCATCTCCCAGGTTCAAGTGATTCTCCTGCCTCAGCCTCCCGAGTAGCTGGGATTACAGGCATGTACCACCATGCCCAGCTAATTTTTTGTATTTTTAGTAGAGACTGGGTTTCACTATGTTGGCCAGGCTGGTCTCAAACTCCTGACCTCAAGTGATCCACCCTCCTCGGCCTCCCAAAGTGCTGGGATTACAGGAGTGAGCCACCACACCCGGCCAGATTCATCACTTTTCTAAACTATGTTTTGTGTGATATTAATAAAAATCTTAATTTAATCCCTTATTTAAGGCACTGGTACCACTTTGAAGAGGGAATCACCAAATACGCTAGGAGGAATTCATACTGTTTTTATGTCCTTCTAAATGCAAAGTGGATCATCACATTATAAGATTTATGAAGAAATATTCATTCTGTTTTTAAAAGTTTCTTCTAAGTTTGCAAGCACGATGACCTCTTGTTTCATAATTTATGGTAATGAATTCACGCTGTAGCTCATTTTGTAATACATTCTCTTAGAAAAATTAATTGACCTGGGGTGTTCAAATGGGTATGTACTGAGATGACAAGTTTGAAAGCCTTTCAAGAGTTCTGTTCGCAAGTCATCAGAGGAATGAAGGCGACATTTCAGAGTCCTTTAATTATCTCAGATGATGTGATAAGGAAAATAATATCCTAACTGACAAATCAAAATCATACGTTGGGATGAAGTCAGTTACATACACAATAGATTCCTTTCTCTTGAAAGCCATGGTCTGGACACATTTCAGTAACTTTCTTCTTTAGCCACAAACAGTGAACCACAGAGAAAGCATGAAGTCTGCATTTCTGCATGGGGCACTTTCAAAATGCTGACTGGCTGCCATGGAAGTTCGCCCAGGGTACTGAGCAAAGTGAAAAAAAATGCAAGTTGCACAACAGTGCGTGCAGTGTGACACCATTCACAGGGGAAGACAGTTACGATAAGATGTATTATGACCTGATACAATACTATACTATCTTATGTTATGTAGAAGGACAATTCTGAAAAGACCCAAAGGAAACAGTTAATAATTGTTGCTTTTGGGAAGAATAAATTGGGGATGATGGTGTCTTTTACATATTATATTTCAAAAGGTTTTATGTTAGCGATATTAATAATAATAAAATAAACAAGTAAGGAAAATAGAGAAGAAAAGAGAGTTGCCACATTGTAAAGAATAGCAGGTAAGGAGGCTGGGTTTGTCCAGCAGGAATGGACCCCAGCACCCCCAACTTGCTCATCCACCAGCGATTAGTTGACTCCTTATATGTGAACATCCTCATGTACTGTCTCCTCTCCTTTGATGCCATACACTGAGCTGTCAGGAGCTCAGAGCACATTGCTGGGGTGTGACTGAGCCTTCTGGAAGTCTCCACAATATCTCTTCTACCTTCTGACATCATAATTACAGCACATGTGGAACTCCTACTATGGTGGTGGTGGTTGTTAGGATGTATATACCACAGCATTTTAGTAGATACTGAGGTTCACTAAAACTGGGAAAATTCACCCATAAAAAATATTTTTCTTTTGAAAGAAAGAATAATTACTGAGCTAATTATGTTTTCATTGATACTGTTTCCAAGTAAGGTCCCATTCTCAGGTGCTGGGAGCTCGGATTTCAACATATAATCAAGCTTGTCTGACCTGCGGCCCACAGGCCACATGTGGCCCCAGACAACTTTGAATGCAGCCAGACACAAATTTTCTTAAAATATTATGAGATTTTTGTTTTGTTTTCTCATCAGCTATTGTTAGTGTGTTAGTGTTGTTGTATTCTATGTGTGGCCCGAGGCAATTCTTATTCTTCCATTGTATCCCAGAGAAGTAAAAAAATTAGACATCCCTGACAGGGTGTCCATTTGATTTCATGCAGGGTAGCAACTTATACACAGGTTGGACAAGCTTGATTAGCTCATTTGGTGTGAGAGAATCAACAACAGAAAAATAAACCCTGGAGAAGTTCAGTTTTGACCTTCTCCTTGTTCCATCGTCCTGCTGATGTGGAATATTGAAAACATCTATTCTATGAGGTTTGTAGAATATAGTTTGATTTATTTTACTTTATGATTCAAACTGTATGCTTTCACTTTTTAAAAGAACCACATATCCATATGGAAAGATAAACATCTATTTTCTAGACATTTTAAACCTTCTCTGGGCCGTCATTTTATTCTTCAGAGTCTATTTTCCTTCAGCTGGAGATCTGACGTGCTGTTAGAGAATCAATGGTGGTATGTTTGAAAAATCAATGCTAATGGGTTCCAACATGAAATCAAAAGGTGGGCATTTCCAGTGAAAACTTTCAAGTGTGTTAAAAATAGCACTCGATTTGTTATTTCTTAATAGAATGTAAGATTTTGAAGAATTTGGCAAAGTGTCAGAGATAGGCTACAAGCAAGTCTGTGTATAGGCAAATACCCGCCAGCCGTGTTATCTGAGCCAGGGGGCTTTGCTGTGCTTCTCTCTGATTTCTGAGATGTGACATGCCCACAGAAAAAACCTCCTCTCCAGGATATGACAGAGAAAACTAGATTCCAGAGATGTGGCCTTGTTTTCATATTTCTGTCCCTTAAAAGTGCTATGTTCATTCCCACTCCGGGTTCTTTGCATTACTTTTCCTTCTGCTTGGAATGGTTTTTCCTAAGATCTTCACATAACTGCCTTTGTTCCATCATTTAGATCTGTGATAGGCAGAATAACAACCCTCTTCCGCGCCCATGCCCTCCTACCCCCAAACCCTGATGATGTCCTGATCCTTGGAACTTTACGGATGTGATTAAGTTGAGGATGTAGAGATGGGAGGATTATCTAGGTAGGTCCAATGTATTCACAAGGGTCCTTTTAAGTATAAGAAGATAAGAAAGTGAGTATCAGAAGCAGAGAAGGATCCAAAGATGCCAATTTGCTGGTTTTGCAGTTGGAGGAAAAGGACCACAGGAAGGAATGCTGACATCCTCTCAATGCGGGAAAAGGTAGGGAAATGAGTTCTTCCTAGACCCTCAGAGAGAATGCAGCCCTGCTGACAACCTGCTTTTAGCTTAATGAGACCTGTGTTGGACATCTGACTTTCAGAATGATGAGCTCATAAATTTGTGGGATTAAGTCATTAAATTTCTGGTAATTTACCATGGCAGCAATAGGAAACTAATACAAGGTCATAACTCAATTGTCACCTCTTAGAACTTGTTCATACCCCAATTAAAGAGTCTTCAGTCACTCTTTACTGTGCCATTTTATACTCTTCATAGTATTTATCAAAACCTGAAAAAATCTGAGATAATAAGTACAATTTTAAATAATTTTCTTCCATTTGAATATGAACTCCTAGAGACAGCAGGGACTGTCTTGTTCACCATGGTGACCCCAGCACTTAGAATAATGTCTGGCACATAGTAGGTCCTCATGAAAACAGTACTGCTCCTTCCTTTACAGTCTTTCTTCTTCCTCCTCCTCTTCTTTCCAGAATATATCTGTGGGAAGAAAAAAATTTTTTTATTTAAAATGTTTGTTTTTATTGGAAAATAAACCATTTGGAGCAATTTTTAAATAGATGGGCGGAAGAGTCCTCTTGCACCTCTCCCCTCACCAGCTTGCTTTTTTCCCAAGGTTGAGAATGAGTCTGGCCAAGTAAGTTATTCCAGAATTCCATTAGATCATTCAAGCCAAGAAAGGGGCGAAATTCTAAGATTTGTATCTCTGGTAAATTCACTGAGGGATGCAAATTGGGCCTGAGCCTGATATACTTCTGGATATGACGTTACTGTTCATTGGTGGCTTAGTGGAAATCTTCCACAGGCAAGTACTACAGAAGAGATTGGGGGATGGGTGGGTGGAGGCATTTGTGAAATGCCTGTGCTTGGCACACAAGAGTCCTACCTTCCTTGGCCACTGTGGACTTGTCCAGCCTCATCCTTACCCAGGTTATATTCCAAGATCTCTGGAATTCTTGCTGATCCCTTGAAACACTGTGCTTTCATTCCTTGTGTCTTTCTCTTGCTGCTTCTGAGCTTGAAAGGTCTGTCTTTGCTTTGTCCCTGTGGTAAAGTCCTAGTCTTCCTTCAGAGAATGGTTCTCTTCTCCTATTCCTGTCTGTGTCTCCCTGGGTAACCTGCATTTACTAAGAGTTCTAACAGATATGTCTTCATGGTCATCTGTCTGAAGACAGGGACAATGTCTTGTGCCCTCTTGAATCCCAAATGCAAAGTATAGATATGGTACAGTCATTTTCCGGAGGTAGGGATCTCTGTCCTGCATTAGACTGGACCAAGATCATGCACTATTCATTCCTGAATCTCAGAATCATGATGGCTCAGAATGGCACTGCATATGTGTTTAATGGCTAGACTTGAATTAAATGGCATGGGTGACAGAGACTACTTGCTATCCCCTGGTTAGTGGTATTTTTAACTTATAAGATTTTTACCTTGACACCTAGCTAACTAGAACATTTCTCAGCTTTATAGCTAGGTATGGCCAAGGGATCATGTTACAGTCAATGAAATTTGAGCAGAAGTGTCATGTAGCAGATTCTAGAAACCTTTGTTAAGAGATGGATGCAATGTGCCCTTTGACTATTCTTTGGGTTCTGTCTCTCATCCTCTGGTTTGGAACATAGATGCCTTTAGCCATGTGCCATCAGAATCCCAGTGCAGTACCCTGGGACTAGTAACAGTGAGATAGTGTTACCACTCCAGGCCTGGGGCAAAAGAAAGGAGGTGTTAATTGGGTACCTGGAAGAAGAGTGTTCTTGGAGAGGGCCTCCCATCAGGAGCCATAACTTTCTATGGAAAGAACTAGCAGCCTGCAGGGATGTAGCTAAGAAAACAAATATCTGACCCCTCATCCTTCTGCATCCTCAAATAGATGCTCCCTATAAGCTGAACCAACCATAAATCAGAAAATAAGGGAGCCCATTGATGTGAACCTTGGAGGCCCATCTCCGGGGGAATAACAGGTGGAGTAGAGATATCGAGCACACCTAGGTAGACCTGCTTTCTCATTTTTAAAATAAGGGAATTAGATTGAATGATCTCTACTATCCTTTCCGGTTGTGATATTTCAGTGGATTTTCTGCATTCGAGCATTTTACAAACCTTCCTGTTACCTGTAGTCAGGCATTCCTGAGCATCAGGTCTTACAGACCAATGTTTGCAACTCAAAGTTATATTAATTGATGAAAGGAAGACAACTAGAACAATGGGTCATGTTAAAGAGTCCATAAACAGACCCACACATATATGAACAATTGATTTTATGACAAAAATTGCACTGTAGAGTAGTGGCAAAAGGATGATCTTTGTAATAAATCATGCTAGGTCAACTGTATTTTTATGCAGAAAAAATCTTAACATGTAACTCACACATAATTATATTTGGACTATGAGCCTAAATGCAAAATAAACAAAGCTCCTAAAGAAAATATAGGGAAGTATCTTCATGGCATTGCTATAAGGTAAAAGAATGAACAAACGACTTGAACAAGCATTTCATAAAAGAAGCATATCCAAATGGCCAATAAACATAAGATAAGGCGTCTAACTTCACTGGTTGTCACCAGGATGACTAACATTACAAAGATTGACAGTAACACATGTTGATGAAGATGTGGAGCAACTGGAACTCTCATACTCTGCTAGTGAGCATGAAAATTGGTATAGCCACTTTGGAAAACTTTTCTAGTATCTACTAAAGTTGAACATATACAAAACCTATGGCCCAGAACAAATAGGTATATCCACAAAAGATATGCATGTATATATTCACTAAAAAACATATACAAGAATATTCATTGCAACCTTATATGTAAGGGAGCAAAACTGGAAAAATGAAAGTGGAAACCAAGAGTACAGTGGATACAAGACTTGAGGTGTGTTTACATAATTAAATACTAATGTAGAGCAATAAAAATGAATGAATAATTGCTACATGCAACAGTGAGGGTGAAACTAATGAAAAGTACACAGAAAAGCAAATACTGAATGATTGCTTTTACATAGATTAAAAACAGGCAAGCAATAATGATGTCAGAAAGCAGGGTTAAGATTACCTTTTGGGAGGATGTAGGGATTGGGGTCAGGGCAAGAGGACAGCTACTGGGGTGCTGGTAACTTTTCGTTTGTTTGATCATGGTCATGGTTCTATCAGTGTGTTTACAGCAAAACCTCTTTGAGCTATATACTGATTTGTGCCAATATTTTTTTGTGGGGGGGATGGAGTTTTGTACTTGTTGCTCAGGCTGGAGTGCAATGGTGTGATCTCGGCTTACTGCAACCTCCGCTTCCCAGATTCAAGCAATTCTCTGGCTTCAGCCTCCTAAGTAGCTGGGATTACAGGCATCTGGCACCATGCCCGGCTAATTTTTGTAATTTTAGTAGAGATAGGGTTTCACCATGTTGGTCAGGTTGCTCTTGAACTGCTGACCTCAGGTGATCCTCCCACCTCAGCCTCACAAAGTGCTGGGATTACAGGTGTTACAGGTGCCCAGCTGGTTTGTGCTTATTCTTATAAATAAAGACTTAGGAATTTGTTGACTTCAGTAAATAATTTTTTTCTTTTTATAAAAGCTAGGGCAAGAACGTGAACACTAGCCCTTCCATATTCAATAGTAATGTAAGGATCAGGACAAGACCATGTCTGTGTTGCCATAGAGGAAGTAACAACAGTGAACACTTCCAAACAAGATTTCTTTGAACAGGTGTTCAAAACCAAAAAGGTTTCCTAAGTCATTTGTGAAACTAAATTTTACTGCAGCCTGGAGCCCCGGGTATTGTGTCAGGAATCATATGCAATGAGATCATTTTCTTTTGCCCACATTTCTGCCTGATAAAGAAAATAAATCTATTTGACAGAACAAAGAATTGCCTCATATGAAAATATGTTGAGAAAAAGGCAGCATTATTCTCAACTCCTAATGCCTAGGAGAAAAATGATATGAGGTTTAAAAGAGTTTTCTGTCCTGAGAAAGATTAAATTTTTACAGATTCTCTCAGCAAATAGTGCATTTATGAAATAAACTCTGGGCCATCCACAAGCTAATTCCAACAAGTATTGTAGGTAGCTTACCTAAAAGACATCAAAATAATGACAAAAACAGCAATGATAACCACAACACCCCAAACAGGAGCCATGTTGATGACTAGAGGCGTGAGAGGTAACAGTTTTAACATAAAATCTGTCCATGCTAAAGAAAGTTAAACAAACTGAGCACCACACTTAACTATTACCATCCTGGTGGCCAAGGCAAAAAGAAACTTCATAAATTGTTTGGCTCATTTAAAAAAAAAAAAAAAAAAAGGAAGGAAGCATACTAGTGCAACATGAGAGAAAAACATTCCTAGCATATTAAGAGAAAGTAATCAGGAGGGTTTGTTTTACATATGGTTTTAAACATTGTAATAGAATTTGTCATTATAGGAGGTTTTATAGTATATGTGAAACATTCTCAATGATCCCTGGCAAAAGGCAAAGGCATAACAACATTAAGTCGTGGTTTCTTAAAGGCACAATGTAATAGACGAACTCCTGGCTTTGAAGCAGTTGTGTAGTGTCCTAGAGGATGTGATGGATTTGTGTAGCCTGAGTTTCCTTGGTCACACTACTCTGGGGCAAAGTTAGAGTAACCAGCAGGGTCTGTCTGGCCCTGACCCTCATCAACACTGCAGAATCCCTCCAGCTGCTCCTGGGAACCCCCAGGGGATGGCACATGTGTGCTCACCATATGACCCTTTCAGCTACCATGTGACCCCGCACTCAGCTTCCCCCTGCTACAGTTCATTGCAGTGATGTTTGTGTTGGGGCACAACAGACCCACCCCCAGTGAGGACACTGACACCTCCAAGCCGCTGTGGCTATGCTTCAAAGCCACAAAATGTATCCCCTGCTGCTGCAGCTGTTGGCACTGACCCCTCTCTGTCTCTCTCATGCCCACCAAATGTGATGCCTCCCTCTCCTTCTTCTGCCCACACTGGGGCAAGGTGGCCCCAGTGCAAACTGTTTTTTCTGGACTCCATACAACTCCAATCCCAACCCCAACCAGATGGCACCATAACACTTTCTTGTGCTCTCCTCTGGACCATCCAAAAACTGCCTTCTGGGCTGCCTGACAGTCATAATCTTAGTCTTACATGTTCCTACTGCGTCTCTTCTTTAGGACCCAGCTGAGGGGGGCTAGACCAGAAATGTTCTGATTTTGAGGAAAGTGTGGAGTTTATGAATTTTCCTTTATGATATGAGTCTATTACCTTGAACCAAGCCTGTATGCCAGACTTTATATCCCTAAAATGCTCCTTTCCCAAAAGGAGGACCATCTTCCAGGAATGTCCAGGCATGTGTGAATCCATGAGGAACATGGCGTGAACCCGAGCAGAGACTCCACCCATATCAGCATGTCCTTAATACCTCCCCAGTGTTTGTGTTTACTGCCTAGATCTTGTCCAAAGCCAGGCTTTTCCAGAAAGTGCACATTCCTCTT